TCGTATCGCATGGTAGATTTCGAGTCTGTTTACCTATATAAATGTGTGATTTAATTGGAATGTTATGTAAATATTTAAAAAAATATTAAGTTTAGGCATTGATGGAAGTTGTGAATTAAGAACAGAAATTCGAACTTGGATCCAGCTGCTAATGTGTTGTAACTAACTGACCATATAATAATTAGTGGCAATACCTAATAACGTAACTGCGAGGAGTGACGATACATGATAATTAAACTTTTTTAGACTTTTGACAAAACCGTTTGTTAAATAGTAGTAATTTTTGGCCACTTCTTACCTGTACCAATGGTTGCTTTAGCAAAGACTCTTTTTGAATATTGCATTTTGGCTCCCTTCTGTAGCAACCGTCTTTGGAGTTCACATCCTTTACGCCACAATTGGTTAATCCTGATATCGACTTTTCGCCGCTTATATTTTTCATTTTTCCGATTTCGTCCGCTGATCGAAAATAATTCCTCTTTCCCTGAAATTGACATTTCGCTGCTACTAAGAGTTTAGATAAAAGTCTTGTAAAGTTGCTCACGTTTGAGTAACTATCGGTTGATCCACTTTCCGATTTACTGCTGGCTTCGCTACCTTCCCGAAAATTTGCTTCCAAGATGCAAGACATTTTTCTTCGAGCCAGTTCCCGTTGCTCTCTTTCTCTCCTTTCGTTTCGCTCAGAACTAAATCCTTCGACTAGGATGGCGACCAAGAGATTAAAGAGTACATAATTCCCGAATGTCATCAAAGCAACAAAATATAATGCTGCCCAGTGGGAAGTACGGGCCATTCCGTTCGAAAGAACCATGTTCCAATCTTCTTGAGTTAAAATCTACAATTCAAAAGTGTTTATTATTATTTTTAACTACATTTTGTAGCATCTACGAGTATACGAGAACTCATAGATACATGTTATATAAAGTTTAAAGTATACAGCATATAAGAAACAGATGACCAACTTCAAAAACAAAGTCCGAAACCATAACTCTCCTATTGTAAGAGAGAATTTCCTTTCTTCCAATCTTTGAAAACCGTTGGGGACCAGAAATCTAACAAGTTAATGCAGACATTATAATCAATTTGTTGTTTGTACAGAAAATTGCGACGGTTTCTTTCTTGCATAAATATTTTTATTCAGTTCAGCATTTTGATCTAAAATTGACGTTCCCTGCAAACACAGTCACGGTTGGGAGAATCTCTTAAAACTACCTTTGCTATTCTGCTATTTTCACTACCATAATTGAACACTTTGAGATATTCGAGCTTGAAAATGTATCCTTATCTCAAGCGGAAATACAAAATGAACCGTTTAGAAGACAAAGAGAAGAATAAATTTACAAAGTTTATTTAAATACAGGAAGATAAAAAGAATACTTATTAAAATGCATTCTTCCGATACAGCGGTAGCCGAGCCAAATGTAACATGTTTTGAATATTTTGTAGCGTTTTTATTTTCTAACTCAGACGAAGGATGACAATCAAACCGCTTATTTTTTAAACGCTACATAGACGTAACAAACGCCATTTAAATATGGAAATTTTGCGTTTATAATTAAGACCAATAATCAGTAAGATAGAAATATGCAAGTAAAACTTCTTTAGTATACTTGTGAGAATTTTCTAACACTGGAATTTTTTCTTTAGAACACTGAGCATTTTACTTCATTGAAGATTTGTGATTCTACAAATTGTTCGTTCAACCTTTGTGCTTGCTAAAACTTAGTCCACCACCAAAAACCCTTTGCAAGAAGCATTTTTCGCTAGCGATCATCACTACCTTATGTACGAGCAGAGGGCGACCTAAAAAAGTTGGCTTACGACGATATATTGGCAGTTATAAAGTTATTTTTAAATAAAATGTTCGACAATATCGGGGACAGTGTTTGAAACTAAAGAGTCCAAGATATTCTGCTGCAAACATCAGTTTGAAAAATCTGATGAAAATAGGCAGAATTTACCAGTACTTCAAGAAACTCCACTAGTTACAAAACGAGGCATTCGTGAATGTTACAGCAAACAATAGGTAAAGAGAAATTGTTCTTTCGAACAATACATAGTTTTGTTTATTTGTGTGATCTTAACGGGAATTGTTTAGACTTTGGTTCATTGTGACTTGTTAGTAACTTTTGACTTTGTATTTTCTTAAATAAAAAAAGCGTTACTGAACGAATATTTTTATAATTCTTCATGTAATGATGACCGAAAAAGTTTTGCTTCATGTGGCTGATTCTATCTTCAACTCCGACTGGATTATATGTATTGTAAAGGAAAAACTAATTAATTTAAAACACAACAGCTAATTTTGGTTCGCATCGAAAATTACTGCGAACCGCTAAAATCGTTTTTTTTTTGCAGATGAAGAGAGAAAATAGTGTCTATAGCAGTAATGGAAACCTTGTAGGTCTTAGACAACGCAAAAGCGGCTGCAGCAGCAAGACTCTTTAGCTTTGCTACCTGCTAGGTCAAGACGAACAAAGCTTACATACAATAGTGTAATAAAAAAACTGAAGACGACTAATAAAACCGGAATATTAGCTCAATCATTAAATTAAGCTAATAATCCCTTAGTATTAATTAAGAAGTACCTAAATACCCAATGACTATAACTCTTTGAAGTTTAGTACTCATGCACGCCAAAATCCCGTCTGCATGGATGCGAAAAAAAATGTGTTTTTTGCATTTTTTTCAATGCGCCATTTATTGTCCTTTTTATGTCTTCGTATAACATTCCTAATTTGGAAAGTAGCTAATAGTCTGCTGCTGCAGCCGTTACTTCTTTTAGTCTTCTGGATTTTATCGATGCCAACTAATTAACCACGTTCATACTTGGTTAACTTTATTAGTACAATAAACTGCTGATTTCTGGATGTAAAAATGTTCCATAAGCAACAGTGGTCAATCTCACATAAAACATATTTAATGGTAGATATACTTGTGAGATAATATCACATACAAACTAAAGTGGAATACTTGTTTATAAATTTATTTTTGAACACTCTTGGACACTTTAGTCATTACTGTTCATTTTGAACTTAAAGAAAATTCTTTAAGTGTCTTTGTTAGAGACCATATTTAAATATCGCCGAACTCCAGTATAACCTAGGTAAGTAATTTTATATTCTAGTTGAAGATGAAGGACTCTCAGAGATCCTGGAAAAAACCTAAAGGTGTAAATAGTATTTAGACTAAAGATCTCGGGTTTAAATTAAAATTAAAGAAAGATCTCACTTGAAAAACGGTGACTGTGGCCCAGAGGATGTTGTTAAAATGCTTGCGGTCGCATTGGCATCTTTCATCTTTCAGCTCCAGCATCTCACATCCGCAATCTCGCAGGACACCTTTCTCGTCTATATAATTGCAAAACTTACCGCCAAACAGGTACATACCGAGGATGCTGGGAAAAGGTAACGGGTTTTTGTTAGCGTTTTGTTATGTTGATGCAGTTATCTTTTTATTAATAATTTGACTTAGTATCCACTATTTTTATGCTATTTGTCTGCTTTTTATAGTTGTTTGTAAACAACCATTTCGCGCGATTCTACCGTTTTTTTGACACAAGTTCAAAGCTTTAACCAGAATGCGAGCTTACATGCTTGCCATTTTATCAATTCAAGAACATTATTCGCTTGCTAGTTACAAATTTAGTAAAAGTATCGGGTCATTTCATAAAAGAAAAAGTATGTATTCTTTAAATGAATGAATTAATACTAATAGAGGAGCGAGCACCACCCATTCTTTTGCTCCTCCTTAAATCACGTCACCGAAACTAACCCAAACTAAGCCCGCCCAATCCTGGTGCGTCACTTTCCCCCACCGTCGTTCCAGCACATGATAATATAAATACAGCAGCAGCAGCAGTTGAAGCACCAGTCATTTCACAAAGACTTAAAAAAATAATAAAAACGTTTTTTCTCAAATTACTTTCCGCTCTATTTTAAAAATAAACTGCTGGATATCATCATGCGATAATATCCATTATCTTAACGTAACGTTTATTCGATTTGCTTGAAAGCCGAATAAATGTTTCTGATAATAACAAAACTGTATCTTTAATGGAAGCATGGAAATAGGAAACATTCTGTTCTGTTGCGCTTATATTTGTGATAAAAAATTGAAATGATTGAATGCATGATTTTTCACTTTTATCAATGATTTTCTTCCGAGTCCTTCGTTATTTTCAGTTTGAATGACATTCTGTTTCCAGGCTATAAATGTGCCGGAAATTTTACTGAATTACTGAATCAGAATTACTAGTGACAAACTAGATATATAAAAGCAAGTACATCGTATAATTTTTGCCAATTATACATAATGTTGGAAAATTCATTTAGATGTGTAGGTACAGAAAACCTGTCTGGCACCAAGTTAATAGTAAGAGAAAATTTTAATTAGATTTTCATACCCCTGCGTTGCCAAGTCATAGCCACAGATATATGAAGCAATTATAGTACGCATCATGTAAGCTTGCATACCGTGTAAAAAAATAATTGAAATTGAAGTTAATTAACAACGTTTAATTCATTTTTATTAAATTTTTAGATAAGGTAAATTCATTTTTAATATTTAAAAACGTGTTATACGAGCTGCATTCTACGTTTGTTAATTTTCCTATGTTTCAAGTGATTTGAGTGTGAATTTTCTATATACATTTTTTTATATAATACTCTAAAACATTTTTTAAAGTAGACTGATCATCAACTACAATTAACTCAAGCTATTTGTGTCATTCAATTGGTCGAAATCTGCAACTATTCTACGAAAAATTGTATCAAAACTTCAATCTATAGGTACGCGGTAAACTCTATAAACGAGTGTTAGTATATTAATAGGCGACATACACAACTGCAGGGGTGACATGTTGATAGAGAAATCACACAAAGCCAAACAAAAAAACAGTTTCTAGTTTTGTAGGTATGTTACTAGCTACTCTATAATTACATGCAATATGGGTTAAATATATTAAATTAAATTAAATTCTCAGAATAGCAATAGCTAACTGCTGGGAATCGGAATAGTTAGTTTTCAGCTGTAGTTACCCATTTAATATATATTTAATATTTATCTAACTAGTGCGAGAAGTGATATTTTATTGCACTGAAGTTGACTAAAAACGCGCATTGGATTCTGGTCAATTATCGAGTGCAGTAAAGACCATCTCGCGTTTGCTATTTAAGTTAGAAATAAAACGTATTTCTGAAAGAACGAGTTTTTTTAGATGCACAGTAAAGTATAATTAGTTATTAAATGCACTTTACAAACGCAAGCGGTGTGGTAAACTCTTGTGGTTTCCGTGCACGTTTTACTACGAATAAGATACAATACATGTGAACATTTTCAATTTTGTATATGTTGATTTTTCAGTTGACTACCCTTCTTAATTGACGATCGTAAAACCAGTGGTTTTACTTCTTCTGTGTTTTTCTATCTTCGAAATATTAATATTTAATTAATCAACAAATTACTAAAATGTATTCCCTTTGGTAAGACTCAATAGAATTGAATATTTTCGTTTCTTGTGAACTGGCTTAATACTAAAATGAAATTCGGAGCTACATAAATACAGCTGCATCAAATTCATTACCTATTGTGCTTTTTGCTGTACGACGAATTTCTGCAGATTCTAAATTATTTTCGGAGCCATATCAACTCGTTAACGTTAATAAAAGAGCTTACTTTAAGACACTAATTCGGTCTTTATATATTTTCTTTTTGTCTTTATATAAATAAAAAAAATCATTTGCTTTTTTTACTAATAAAACGAGCAGTTTGTCATTCAAAAATTACAAAGGCGGTTTGTTCCGTCTATTATTAGGTGAATTGAAGAATAGAAAACACCATTTTACTTATCTGTTCACGATCTAGATATTGATGAACGCAGATTGTCGATGGTATGGACGTTTTGAATTAATTTTATCTCAAAAATTGATTGCTAAAATAGATGTATCCTGTAATTAGTTAAAAAAGTATCTAAGTTTAAAATCTAATCTTTAAACATGGGAGGTTTAACGAAAAGCACTTCAACAGAAAACAAGCAAATGTCGGCAAAACATGCACAAAGCCATTTAGTGTAACGAAAAGAAAATTTAAGCGAAATTAATGAGACATTGAGCAATATATCCTTTTATTTATGCAGCAGATGAACCGTACTGTTAGACATGTAAGTTTGAAACGTATTTAATATACGTTACTTTATAATCTGTTCCGTTGTAGTCGAAACATTGTTAGCGACTTCATTAAAACCTGTTCGAACTTTTGTCATGTTAAACATAAAAACAATCATGCATTTTGTATGTCTATGTATTATTAAAAAAATCTTACTATTCTAAGAGTTCAAGCAAAACTTAAACCTACCTTTGGAGGGTGACAAGACTGATCCTCTTCGTAAGATTGCCAGTAGAAGTTTAGAAAAAAAATATTGAAACTGCATTTAGTGTTTAAGAGCTCAATTTAAATACCGCATGTGACCGTCGCTTGGTAAATAAATATGTGCTCCTAAGGAAAACTAAATGCAGCTCATCGGTTTAGGAAGAAAGATAAGTACCTGAAAAACAGTCACAAGTGACCATAAAAGGGAGTCAAAGTTTTTCCTATCTTTATCTTCATCAGAATTCGTTTTGCAGACTCCGCCCGCTTCCGTATATTTTTCCTCCGCTTTACAAAACTTGCACCCGAAAATATTCATACCCAGTATACTAAAAACATCCCAAAAATCAACTATTTAATATTTAATGATGGTTAGTACTTCATGAAATTTGATGACGGTTAATTGTGAATCTTTCGTTTCGAGTCCGGTTAAAAAATCAGATACGTTGTTTAAGTGATATGGAATATTATGCCTTAAAGATGTAATATTACCAGTTAGTTGACCAAATAGCCATTTGCAGTCGAAGAGAACGCGAATATATTTACGAAAAACTTATGCATCTAAGAAAACAGTTTTCAAATAACTTATAATAGATTATTTCGAGCATAGTTTTGGACCATGCAAATATAAAAAACTCAGGGCGTGTTTAAAAAAAACAATTACTATTAGTCGATTGAAACTAAGAAAAAGTCTTGGAACAGAAAAGGATTAAAGGGGGTAAGATAATACTGTAACTCGCTGGTTACAGAGGTAAATCTTTCAGTCAGGATGGGAAATTACTAAAATTGTTAGTCAATTAGGGTAACGGTATAGCAGTTACATTAATTGCCAGCAATATCCGAAATGCCTAGACATTTTAGGGATTAGCGAATTTCGCTATTTGACGCCGGCATATGCATACATTCAAACACGTATATTCAGTAATGTGGACACGATGAATACTTATATTCTTTGAAACAGAGACAAAAACCAATTAACTTATGGCCAAATCATTCAGTTACAAATTTGCTATTCTTCTTTTCATTTTTACATAACATTTTGTAGTAAAGCTATAACGGTTGGCTTAATTCTGAAACAATGTTGCAAAACGTGCGAATTTTGGACCGAAAAAGTATAAATTCGTTAAAATTTATTAATATTTTTGCTGCAGACAGCAAATCTTCTCACATTCAACTACTTTATGTGATGCATAAAAAAATACACATCGGATGGAAATACCAAATTTAATGCTTAATCTATAGATAATTTAATAGGCCGTTAAAATGCCCTGAAAACGTTGCATATTTTCCATTGTTGGGCTATTATCAAACTGTTTCGGTTTTTTTGATATTATATATTTCCGAATAAATACTGTATATACAATTATATGTGCTATTTTTACGAAGCGCAAATAAATTTTTCGGATGTATGTTTGAAGTTAAACATTAATTAAAATTATATTTGCTGTTTGAAAACAGTAAATAAATATTCCAAATAAAATCTATCAAAACCAGTCTTGACATTCGCCCTGATTGAAAGTTGTTTTTTATTTTTAAGAAAAGCTCCGAAATGAAACTTTCTCTATTAATGCCTTTTATATGCTGCAACTATACTTTTTTTCGAACCCATACAGTTACAGATACAATTATATTAATAAAAATTTTAAATAGAATAAGATTTGTATGTAATTTAAAAATATTTTAAACTGTAGGCGTTTATTGAAAATTATTGAAAAAAATCAGTTTTAAGTTTTAAAAATTTTAGGCGCAGGTTAATATAAAATAGGTTTGGAAGAAAAATACTGCTTTCATCCACATCACCTATACTTTCCCCTTGCATGCATTTCGTAACACGTATAGGAAACATAAAGCCTTGATAATAGAAAAATTACTGTCAGAATTATCATTTAATCTTCAAGGCATAAAATATTCCATTTGAACATTTTTCAGTAATTGACGTTTTGTGATATTTGGAATGTTAGTACGAATTGAAATCAACAGTAATGAAGCTTTACAGTTAATGTACAATGTCCATAGACTGGCGTGTATATTGTTCTATGTACAATAGTGTAGTGTGTCTGATCGTGTAAAGGAAATGTGCAGTTTAAAGTGCAAAAAAATATTAAATAAACTAAAAATAGAATTACAAGAAATCACAGAGTAGTGTACACAGTATACATATCCTGCTAAACATCAAAACTAAATGAAAAAAATCAAATATTCTATATAACGTATGTACACAAATCAAATGCCACCCCTACCCAGAATTCAGTTTATTCATTTAATGAATGTTATATTGTTTGGATAATTCTAATCCCTGTACAGTGTTTTGTCATTATTTGTTAATACATTCCATACATTTAGACAAAAGCTACTATATGAAAATTGTTTCGTTCTATTACTGTTTGATGTTTACCTGTGGGCCAAGGCTTTTAATAAAACCTAAAACTTTTGTGTCTGATTCGGGTGAAATATGAACTTTTCGTCTTTTAGAATATGTAATTAGATTGATTACAGTTTACAAATTTGAACTCAATTACTGCACCAAATTTAGTTCATTTGCAAATCCATTAATATGTTTTACTTGATTAGTTTTGTTTGTGTTTGTTCAGTATATTTTTTTTGCATTGAACTTTCTATTTATAAAGTTTCTAACAATTTTACAAAAATATAATGAATTATCTTATTATGAAATATTCGAGATTTTTAGTTGAAGTTAAATATTTACGGTGCGGTGTACAGGGTGGTTTATTAAAGTTGGGAAATTCAAATGCTTAAGATACTGCTTAATATAAAGGATTTAGGATAAAATTTAAAATTGCTATGTTTTCAGATATTTGAGGAGGTTAATAAGAGTAATGGAATAATTTCTGAATATTCATGGGAGGGATAAAATGAGAAATATGATTTTTATTGCCCGGGAAAATTTTTCGTCCGAAATGTGTCCCTTTTAAACATTATTTAGAATAAGAATATAAGTATGTAAAAAACAATAATTTGACGAGTTTTGAATACGGAAAAACTGTTCATTTAATTTTTCTCGTGACCTTTACACTGAAAAAAAAATGTGTGTGAAGTGCAAATGCAAAGCATTTCCAACACGAAGTGACCATGAATATTTGGTAAGGTGTCAACCTGGTCTCCTCCTTAAAAAGCCATCTATATTTCATTTTTCACAATATATTTTGTCAAATGTATAAGAATAAGTCGAACAGAGATTCCCCAAATTTTTCTTAAAAATCACGTGCCTGTGTCGATAGTACTTTGCGAAATCGTTAGTAAGTATTTCTGCTTGGCCATACAGAAGTCTGGATTTTAATCGTCTACTTTTCGAATGCAGTTTTCGTTTACAATGTTCAAACTGCATGTTGTTGCGTTGAAGAGTTGCTACAACGGAATGAATCCAATTAAGTTACCCGTTACACCAAAATGCTCGATTCTGCCTTATTTCATTTGCTTTACCGTTATGTGTTCTAACAGAACAAAAATACGCCCCATTTCTTTCGCTCCTTGCGTACTATCAAAATATATTGCTCGTAAATTTTGGTGCAGAATGAATCGAAACTGAGGCAAACATCTAGTATAACAAAGACTTTTTTTTAAATTTATTGAGCTTTCAGGTTGTGAATCATTTCAAGTTCGACATACATTGGGGAAATTTATTAACTGTAAATTTTGCTGAAATTGGTCGTAAGCGGTAACCTCTGCATGCGGAAATTGTCATTTGTGTTGTGTTCATCGAATAGAAACTAATAAACTAATTTTCTCGTTCTATGTTTATCACTAACGCATATATCTGTTTTTAACGAAACTATTAACTTTCAGTAAAGCATGTTGGGGTAGTTGGTAAAAAAATTTGATGTGTATCATACACTTCAAGATTTTCCATTGCCCAGGAATGTCTCTGCATAAAAAGAACATTTAAATAATTACCTCAAATCGTAAATTAACTTTAATGTTCGTTTCAAGTGCACCATCTTCATCATCAAAAGCATTGCATGATTTCTCTCAAAGTTTTGATCACACTAACAATAAAATTTCATGATCTTTTAAACAAAATGTTCCATAAAAAACTTTATCACCAATTATTAATAATTAGGGTTATTTAAGATTTAGATTTAGAGAATATTTTTGAAGTTATTTGCTAATAAAAATGTGCGTTATTTGATCTTACTCATTGATTCACTTGTAAATACTAATTAATGCCAATTTCATCTATCAAATATAGAATCAATCTATTTCCGATCTATTTCGTCAAATTAAAATCACAAAACCACGATATTTTTGTAGATAACTACTAAGTTCATATTTCACAATCCAACTTTATAATTTTTATTAAATCACTTATAATTGACGCTTTAAAGCTTATTAAGCCTTAAGAAAGATTGCACGATAAAAAAGACAAAAAAGAAAAAAGAGAAGACGGACATGTTACAGCTTGCAACACAAACAATTATTTACCACTAAATAGCTTTTGTCATGTACGACATGATGATAGGTATATCAAAGTTATGAACCCGAAATAATTCTAATTCAGCTTACACTTACCTGAATATGAATATGAAAAGGATAAGCAAAGAGAAGAAAATAGCGACATTGTCCATTGTCCTTAACATGACAAACAACTGTCTCCTCAGATTCGGCATGAAACGAACCAGTTTTAATATCCTTAATAGCCTGAAAGTTCTTAGCACCGAGAGTCCTGAATCTGTGTGGAGTTCTTCGTCGTGTTTTGTGAAATTCTTGAATAATTCTATAGCACTAAAATTTCACGAGTTTATGTGTTTCTCTATCTAAAAATTAATGTTTACCTTAAAATTACAATTACTCCATCGAAGACATTGAATCCGTTCGAAATGTAACCAAACGGCCCTTCTGCAATCACTTTCAGTACCATTTCGACGGCAAACACTCCGGAAAAAATAACGTTAGTGACTTCGACACAATGAGTTAGCCATTTAGACTGTTCGTGATGTTCAATGCCCATAGATAAAGTGTTAATTAAAATAGCGAATAGTATACCGTGTTGAAAAAGTTTATGTTCTACTAGAAGTTTTATATACTTTCTAACGGTTCTAATTGCTTTCACCACACCCTTAACCAGCATGCATGTGAATATGTAGATTTTTGAGCGTTTCTCATTTTTATATTCGGACTCGCAGTGCCACAAGTCCATACAGCAGCTAAAATCCTGAAAATTGCCCACGGTTATAATTTACCGGAACAGGTCGGATTAAATCCCTACTTCTTCTATATTTTGCTGAGGATGGTTAAAATATTCCTCGCTGGTTTTCTGCCGGTTATTCATTCCTTTGGACAGGGAATCGAAAAAAGAATCCAAAACCACCTGTCCAGTAGGTAAAGCCGCATTTATTGCGCCCAATGCTAACAGTTCCTGACATGTGAGGGCTTCGCCGTTCATTAAGTCGCTACATTCTTGAGCTATTTGCTGTTTCGTTTCCAACATCTGTTGAGGATTTGCTGGCCCCGTAATCTGCCAGATGTTTCCGTCTCCTGAAAACAACATTTATAGGTCCAGGTAAATTAATTTGAGGCTTTTTTCTGCTTTCTTGCCATTTGTGAATAGGCTACTTAAACTGCATTGCGGTGTATCTAATATTCGTCAACAGAGAAAACTGATAAAAGACATGCTAATGCGCTCACTTTTAAACTTATAAACATTTCCCATTTCATTAAAAGACCGTCCGAAAAATATAAATGCAAACATGCTGCTAATAATCCTAAAAAGGCTTTCAAAGCGAACGTAGCTTTTTTGAATTCCCGTTACCTTGTTGCATCAGTTTGTAACACCCTGTAACTGTTTAACTGTGCTGACAAATTTAATCATGAAATTATTTTAAAGTTGAATAAATGAAATTTCAGACTTCAAAAAACATCACAGGTTAAAGGAGATCACCAAATGTTTTATGACGATTTTTGTTTCAGTTGCAAGTTCCTGATGGAAAATTCCCTCTATTTTATCTTACCTGCTTGGGTCGTTTTCTCGCTGGAGCACACATTTTTCTTATCAATGTTCACTGATAATAGGTTGGATGCGGATGTGGTCGGCGAAACGTTTTGTCCGTGAAGTACGATGATATCGCTGAACATAACGGACGAACGACGTCGATTATTTTGCAACGAGGTTGGGGATAACAGATTGGTGGAATTCTGAAATGGCACAAAATAAATGGAGCTCATATCAAACTTTTTCGGAATTAAACATTTCTACTTTTTCCTGTTTTCGGTGTCTGTTTGGTGCCTAGTTAAATAAAATATATTAATTTGTAGACAAATCTATAAAAGTTATTTATATATAAGTAGTTTAAATTGATTTTCTTAAAGCTTTATTCTCTTGACCAAGTTCAAGTTGATATTGAATTTAAGAAAGTGCTCTGAGTGTGAAAAATGTAGTCGAGCATGAAGTATCTCTTGCTAAAACATGGGAAAGTCAAAATACTTATATTGCCTTCCCTCAAATTTCACCAAAAAAGTAATATTACTAAAGAGCCACAAACTATGAGTTTTTGATAAAAATTTATTGTCGTAGATTGGACCAAAAACAAAAAATATGTCACCAAAAAATAGAATGTTCCATTAATAATTGGTTTTTATAAGAAGTAAGTATACCAGATAAACAGTAAAATATGTCTATTTAGGCCTGTGGGTTTCATGGTCAATAGATGGTGGCAAAAAATGAACACTATTTTTCAGGGGCCAACGTTTCGACTATATCATTCTCGGGGCTCTAAAATAGGGGGATTTTAGCTTTAAACTCGGTGAAGTTGAACCAATTTCAGTTGATCACAGTGTCATCATTGTTATATAATCACAGTCTTAATTAAAATTTAATTAAACTCAACGTTGATTAAAGTTTAAATCATGACAAACAGGGCATACAATTAAAATACTTAACATCAATCACAAAAATATGAAGTTGAAGAAGTAGTCGCTAAAAAATCAGACAATTTTAATTTTGTAACGATTAGGACGGATACAATTTATGTCTTTACTGTGAAGTGTGAAACTAATCAGAAAGCCTACCTATGAGATTAAATGTATCGCACCGAATACTTCAATTGTGAAAATCTTGAAAACATTTTGGGCGATTTTAAAACGACTCATTTGCTGCAGGTAAAGACCATTAAAAATAATTTTGAACCTACTGCTGCTTTCTTGAACTTTTTTTCTAAGGTAAGTTGTGCTAACTAATATTGCTTCTACCACAGGAATCCGCCATTATATATTTTAATAATACTTATGGGACCTTATAAGGCCATCTCTTCATTGATGTAACACTAAGAGGCTATTTTCGTTATGACCAGACAAGGGTTGGAAACAACTAATAAATAATTATTGTCGAATTTGGCTATTATTAAGTATACTCCAGAACAACGGGCTATAAGGAAATAAACAAAGCGCACTTACATCGTTGTTGTTGGATGAAATTTCCTGACTTGATATGGCAGGAACTCGCAATAATCCCGGTCGTCGTGAAGAAACGACGGCCAGTTCGACATCATCTGCTCTCAGAAATCCAGGATCACTGAGGCAAACGGAGCTGGCTCGAGACACAGCTCGAGTGCTGGGCAAACTTTGAGATTGCTAAAAATGACCAGATAATTAGTTTTATTAACTTTCTGGCTAATTGTTTCAACGCACCGTTGGCCTAATTTTTGGGCAATTGGGGTGATGTCTCTTAGTGTAATTAAGTCTTATAGTCTCTCCCATTGAAATCTTTTGATCTCTCCTTAAATCCCTTTGTACCCTGTAGAGCCGAATTTTCTTCAACACTCGTCGTTTGGATCGTCTCCATAAATGGGCGATATACTTTACGATTTCCGCATAGCAGCTGGTTGGTTCGCTATTATTTGTCGATGAAGCTAACGTACTGCTACTTTGGAACCGGGCTCTTTCCAGTCGCATTCTCTCCATCTCCCTTTTCTTTGTTTCAGAAAATTGTGTAGCTATGACGACTAGACAGAGGTTGATCATAAAAAATGAACCGATCTGAAAACAATACCCTCAAATAAGTAAAGTAAGGACGACATCCTAACATACTAAGCCCATTTTTAAGTCATCAGCTGCACGAGACATTCGATATAAAGCAAAGCAAAAATCAGTACTTAAAATGACAATATCGAATCGTAGCAAATATGAGCATAAAAGTTGACTCCCATGGTTTCTGAAAATTTTTCTGAAAAAAAATGTATTATTCCACTTTTTCAGATAAAAATGTCGTTTTTTATACCATAAAAATATGGAAAATATAGCTTTAAGGAATACTACTTATGACTTACTGTCGGGCGCTTCATAAAAGTTGTGATTGTAATCTATATGTATTCAATTTTTAAAATTTAGGAGATTGAAGATGAGTAGTACTTGAGGCAGTTGGAAAACTTACCTTTTGAGTAAGGAACTCTACAGCTTTGCTATTTCCTAAAAATTCTACAGTTTTTGCCATTTATATTATGTATTTGAAATATTTAAGTATTTAGACTTTAACAACAGAACTATTTTGACGTTGATGGGAAAACGAAACGTTGGGCAAAACGCTCACTTTTAAAGTAATTTAGAATAATTCGTTCTCAATTTTAATTAATTAAAATAAAATTAGTTTAATTAGGACCTGCTACACTTTAGATGCCTTTTGTAAAAATTGTATTGGACAAACCCTGGACTGTCCCATACGCAATTTGTTTTTGGTTTTGCCAATGACCATGTTTCTTAAAATGACGAACTTATGATGACAAACGTGGAAATTCGCTCATAGACAGTTAAAGAACTTTTATTTCAAATCATTTCAAGAACTGTATAATATTTGTATGTTTTAACAGTTTTTCTTTTACACACGTAGCAGTTTTGAGATCTACTTACAAACAACTCCCATGCCCCTGTCTATACACCATTTTCACTATGATGTTAGACAGAGGTTGATCATAAAAAATGAACCGATCTGAAAACAATACCCTCAAATAAGTAAAGTAAGGACGACATCCTAACATACTAATCCCATTTTTAAGTCGTCAGCTGCTCGAGACATTCGTTATAAAGCAAAAATCAGTACTTAAAATGACAATATCGAATCGTAGCAAATATGAGCATAAAAGTTGACTCCCATGGTTTCTGAATATTTTTCAAGTTTTCAAATATCTAGAATTCGAAGTGCCAGCCTCTGGGATATCCGGATTTCTCCGGCACTTGACATGCAGAAAGAAGGACTTAAGTGTTGAATGCAAAACTCAACTTTAATAAAGCCTGAGTTAAATCGATGACACCGAAAGAAAAGTGATATCGGTTAGATTCATCATGATATAATGTGGGGTGATAAATAGTAAACGATTTCTCTCCAGCACAAAAATATTTCTTGGAAGACAATCTAAGTGCTGGTATGTAAATGGGACATCGGAGTCATAACAAAGGCGGATTTTGGAAAAAATCCAAAAAGTTAACATTATTCATTTCTATGCCAAAATCATTGAAATATTTGAATATTTGGAAACCGTTGGAGGTTACTAAATATGATGGACAGCTTCATTGAAGGAAATCCTCACACACATGTCAATAGAAGTTTTATTTTCATCTAGCAACCAAATGTTACATGTTTTTTAAGATAAATTATAATGTGCTCGTAAAAGATAGAGAATACGTTAAATATTATAAGTGCTCACAAACAGCGCAACCATTTTGCTTCAATAACGTTGAATCTAATGTTATTTTACAGATCTTTAACTTTTTTGTGGTATTTGTACCGTGGTGTTAATCAGTAAATACATTTTCTCATACAGTATTTTATTACCGATTAAGTGTATTCTACTTACCACAATAAGCAGTACAAAATATATCCAATCCCAAAAACTGTGGCCGTCTTGGACGTAGTACATAATTTCTGTCCAACCCTCCAAGGATATCACCTAAAATGTACAGAGTGAATCTTGCGTTTGAATTTAGTATCAAATCTAAAAGTAGTAGGTTTTTCGTAGTATAGCATCATTCACAAATTTTACTTAGCTTAAAGCTATCTCTAGAAATCCTTGCAATTATCAGTTAATCATTTTTCTTCCTCAAGAACTGATATATTAAATAATTAGGATCATTACTAGATGTTCGGCATTTGCAAGTAAGCTTAATCATCTACTTATTTTTTGGAACAGGAATAAATGCTAATGAATGCGTAAAAGAGAGTACATTTAGTAACTACTAGCATCCCCCGAAAAAATTCCTACAATTTTTGTGTTTGTCATGATCAAATGCAGTTTCTTTGTCAGGCACAACACATATTTTAACAAAAATGTATTATTCCACTTTTTCAGATAAAAATGTCGTTTTTTACACCATAAAATATGGAAAATATAGCTTTAAGGAATACTACTTATGCGCTTCATAAAAGTTGTGATTGTAATCTATATGTATTTAAATTTAAAAATTTAGGAAATTGAAAATGAGTAATACTTGAGGCACTTGGAAAACTTACTTTTTGAGTAAGGACCAAAATCTACAGCTTTGCTGTTTTCTAGGAATTCTACAGTTTTTGCCGTTTATATTATGTATTTGAAATATTTAAGTATTTAGACTTTAACAACAGAACTATTTTGAAGTTGATGGGTTAACGTTGGCAAAACGCCCACTTTTAAAGTAATTTAGACTAATTTGTTCTCAATTTTAATTAATTAAAATAAAATTATTTTAAATAGGACCTGTTACACTTTAGATACCTTTTGTAAAAATTACATTGGACAAACCCTGGACTGTCCCATACGCAATTTGTTTTTGGTTTTGCCAATGACCATGTTTCTTAAAAGGACGAACTTATGATGACAAACGTGGAAATTCGGTCATAGACACTTAAAGAACTTTTCTTTCAAATCATTTCAAGAACTGTATAATATTTGTAGGTTTTAACAGTTTTTCTTTTACACACGTAGCAGTTTTGAGATCTACTTACAAACAACTCCCATACCCCTGTCTATACACCATTTTCACTATGGTGAACTATAAAAACCTGCACTTTTTTTGAACTAAATTAAAATTGGATTCTTCACTTTCCACTGCTTTTATACATACTTTTGTGCATACATATTTATATATTTTGCCTAAAATATCCAAAAGCAAAGTGGAAAATACAAATCCCGAGGACCGTCAGCACTTATGCAGGTTTGAGGTAATGAGTTTTGGAGAGAAAGAAAAATTGGGTTTTGAGTTCCTGTAGAAGAAGATAAAAAGCAGATTAGGTTTTGTTAGTTATTTATATACAAGTTATTTCAACTTTTACATGATTCTCATGTTTCAATTGGAAATGGCTCTAGGAACCTCATGGAAAAAGGATACGTGGAACAAAGATAAAAGTTGGCCTTAAAAGCGTTTTTCCTCAAAACATTCTGTCTAATACAAACGGATATAAATTGTGAAGAAGACTTAAAATACATATTAAAAAAGAAAAAACAATGTTGCTATCAAAAAATCATTTGTTTTTAAGTTCATCCAAATTTTAACGTAACTCAGTTACATTCAAATTTGTAGATTCAAAAATATAGATACAAATGCGCGAAAACTCTTATTATTATCTGTTGTATATTGTTAAAATTATCTGTTGTATATTGTTGAATATGTTCGAAGATAAAGATATCAGAATTATTTATGTCGTTACCAATAAGATAACTCCTGATATATTGACTTGGAACTGTAGGAATAAAAACTGGATCTAGTAATGAGCCTCAATTATAAAGTAAAAGTATGCTACTTATACCACTTACCAAAAATATAGCAATCCATGCCAATCCAATATTATCAAATGATATGGTGTTTTGAAATGGGTTCGGATTATTATCCGAACAAGTAGAATAATACAGATGCCAATTGATGCAAAACTGATCGTCGTTTGCATACTCTGGCATGTGTTTCTGCTCCCAAGTAAGCTGACATTCCCTTGTACCGTTTATAAACGGTGGAAGATCATGGCAGCTGTGCATTCCAGAAAAATTGCTTTTGCTGCAAATGTAATCGGTGTCCGGCGGTTTGTAAAAATGGGACACACTGAAAAATGTACCAAATGGTTCAGAATACAGCTTACAAAGCGCTGAGTCTCAAATCGTGCTGTAGTTTTAGTTGCTGTGCAAAATAAGTCACTTTGCTCACGGGGGGATAATTCCACTTTCCAATATATCAACTTCCAAATATATCGCCTTTACAAACAGACGACAAAGTTAGTATGTAAGTACAAAGATATTTTGGATTATGTTTCATAACTAGTGTGCTGTAATTTCCATTGATTTCCAAGCTGATTTATTCTTTTTGCGTAGATTCAATAACACAAATATCATATCTTAGTTCTAATAAAAAAACTGATTTGAAAGCTGACATAGGAGAACGAGGAAAAATATTCCAGTGGAAAATAAAATTACCTTGTTCCTAAAAGTACAGACGATTCGAGATATAAATATTTACAAAAGTGTTTTGCTCATTTTGTGATACTCGATTGTACATTTTTGCTCTAGATAATAACCTTTCAAATACACATTTCACTGTTTCTAAAGCAATTATGATCAGATAGTAAAAACTCAATTTCCGTCTTATCTTGAGAGCATGAATGTAAAATCAAACAAAACAATAACAGAAATATGCTTTTACAGAAATTCGAGTGCTTGGCTACAGAAAGTACAACGTATCTATTCTGGAAACAGCAGCAGTTAATATATTTGACCTAGTTGCAATTTCTCCTATAAAAAATGCTTTATATTGACTGCTGCGTGTTTCTTCAATATGCGTTTGTGTAATATGTTTTCCGACTAATAAATTTAAAGTATGACACACAGTATGCTAATACTTTATAGGCCATGTTGGCATTAGCATACATGCAAACCAATTGTTTTAAAACAGTTCATAGTGAATACAAAGTAAAATTTTGATTATTGAGTCATTCTAATTTACGGTTCGAATTATACTAAAATATGAGAAAAGAATGAAATATATGACATATAATTCTAGATCTTTGGGTTATTGTAGAGCTGCTTTTTGGAAATAACTGACTTGTAATTAATTCATCAAAAACAAATTGAATTTTAAGTGTTTAACAAACCCAACAGAGCTAAGAACATTTAAATGCTTTTTATAGTTTCAGGCTGTAAAATCAGAAATGGCAAAAATGTAAAGGCACCAAATGTAAACGTAAAAGAGCCTTTCTACATTTTTTTCTTATTACATTACTCTTACAAGTGTACTTGTAAGATGTCAATAATTGCGCTTTAATTTTCCTGGATTTCTTCAATATTCTAATAAATAAAATTATATACAGTGCGCTCGTCAGTCGACTAAGAACTGAAATGTTATTGCAAAACTGAATTACAAAGGAAAATTTGCGATTGTTATAGCTGCACTTAGGTTGTGCGTATACTTTTCAGGATACTCTATAAATTCGGTGTTTTAGTAGTATGTTTATCTTGTAAAACATTAGACATATTAGTAAATATTTAAGTTCTACGTAAAAAAATAATTTTGTTTATCTTAGATTTCTAATAGGTAAAAGTTGCAGTTTTGCGGAATATTGAAATAAAATTCGAAACGTGGGTTTTGAAATACTATGCGATTGCGGAAAAATGCACTAAACCCAGATGTAAATCTTAAAAGTTTTAAACCGTGTCGAGGTAGAAAAGAGATATACTCTTATGGAACAACGAATTAAAATTGAAAGACCATTTAATTTTTATTAAAAGGGGTTTTCAAAAAATGTCCAGACGAAGTAGTATCTTTTTGTGTCATCTTTTTATGTCAACTCATGTGTCTTTCCAGTATACAAAATGCCGAAGATGTTTGCAATCGCAAATCTAACAATTTATTTAAAATGTTCTTTTTAATAGCAGTTTGGTTCATTATTGATCTATTTAAAAGAGAAGTTTCTATTTCTTGTCTGTTACGTATGTATCTATATGAATATATTGCATTTCAATATATATTTCGGTCCGTCACATTGTAAATTTAATGTAAATGCCAAATAATCGTTTAAATAGTCATATATAAATAATAGTCATAAATATTTGGAAATAGTTAAGGCTCATCTATTTTGATAACTATTTTTTTATGCTGCATGACAATTGTGACCCTTAATTTAATATAGCGTATGCATGCAATAAGAGCATAAAGTCACTGTACAGCTTTTTTGATATATTTTCCAAGATTTACCCAAGCAGATATAACGTTATCAATTTAGAAAATGTTGACAGCCTATTTGAACTCATGCGTAATTCAAGATCTTAAAAAGCAAACTTTGTGATCTTTCAAAATGGCACCATATTTAGAATCACCTACACGTTTTCCATTTCAAATAACTATTTATAATTTATTTCAATACGATCTGTCTGCCTAGTGAAGTTCAACGTCAGCTCACATTTATAACTAAAACATTGGGCTCTCTTCGATTTCCATGTGAAAATGGAAATATACACTATTCAGTCTTGTCGCCGATTTAGTTTCCATAGTAAAATAAATTCGCTTATTAAAATTCTTTACTATTTTCTGTAAGAAACTTTTTTTCACTTTGTATTTTGCTTTGTTTGCCTTTCGAGAAGCATCGATTATCAAGCTCTAGTTTGACCAACTCTGTACATATATTTTGTACACAGATGGAACATTAAACAGAAAAACCTTCTATGAATAAATGCAAGTTTTAGAAATTGTTGTGAGCTTCGTAATTGAACACTCTTTAGCAGAAAGTTTAATAATATAGTGACGATCTCCAGTTGCTTTAATATTCTGCTTAAGCTGCTTTATATTAACAGGAAAAACAAAACCCAATAACTTCTATTGAGACTCCATGTGTCCATGTTCACATAATCGGCTAGTTTCGCCATCAGTTTCAATTTCTCAATTGTAGCTTTTCCGAAGTTTAAATTTTAAAGATACATATCTTTGTCTTAATCTAATGGCTGCTGTATCATTTCTCCTCACCTTAGCAGCTTTGATAACCATAACTTTGTTAGCTATTTAGGCAAAAAAATTCTGTCCGGAAATTGCTCATTTTTCCACTGTTTCAAACTGTATACGATTTCCGGCAAACTTAAACCACAGCTTTGTCGAGTTATGAGTAGGTATATAAATCTTTCACCAGGGAGGTTGAGATAGGTACAACAGGTGTGAAGTAGCTTGTCAAGATGTTAAAGATTTCCCGAATAGTTAGCCGGGAGAATGCGGATGTCACAGTACTGTTATCCGGTCACTCCACTTCTCATTTGACGAGCATTATTTGGTCACACTTAAGGTCAATTAACAGAGTTGTCTGATCAATTATTAAACTAAATTTGAAAAGTCAACAAAGAAAATTTTAGCATTCTGATAATAAATCTAGGATGTGAATTACTTATTCCAAATGTATTATAAGTCAGTCACAATCCGATATTATTACATATCAAGCTGTAAAATGGACAACCGAAGACAAACGGAATACGCATAAGATTTAAAATATAGCCACATTTTCCCAAATTAAGGTGATAAAGGAAATAAGACACCGTTTGATCTGCTGATCAAATTAGAGAATAGGTTTGGCAGTTTTTCTTTATACATACGTAATAAATTACATTACCAAAAATAATACTATTTTATAGAACATGAGGGCATATTTACGTTCATAAAGATGTGAATTATATTATATTCTTGCGTAATTAGATACTGATGGAATCATTTTCATTACAGTATTGTAGCCAATATTGTCAACCTTTTTTAGCTAATTACTTAACGTTAATGTACTATAACCATATTGTAAAACTTTTATAAAACAACGGAAATTTTTTGAAAAACTGAGGGGCCTGTTACGATAGTCTTTGTAAAACTACTAACCTAGAGAAGTTTTCTTTAATTAGGAAGACTGAACTTTTGACCAGGTCCCGAATCTGAATTTTTTATAAGATTTTCAATTTTTGATGTAATAAACGCAACTATTTAAAAACTGCCGATTTTAGAAATTTCCTTGCAAGAATTGAACTTTATACCTGTTGACGTAAAGACATAAAAATGTGGTCTCATTTAAAGTGAATAAGAAATTTAAGTCGTACGAATTTAGTTTAATCTGAAAACGCATTTTTGGTTTTACAGTAGGCTAATGTCTCGGATAAGGTGGAGCACATATAATATGATATCGATTACAGAATCAGCCCTTATTAAACTTCAAAGGAACCGAATTAATTTTCAACCCTTAGGCTTTTGAGTGGAAGCACAAAGCGAACGTTATTACCCGTGCCTTTTTGTTTGTAATCTATTAATAGTGCCAAACTTTTTAGCAATAATTTTAATGTAGATTACAGTTACTATTTGAAAACACCTTGAAAATCATTTCGTTTTTGTATTCTACTTGAAATACGTTTAAAAAAGTGCGGAAGAGTATATTTTGATGATGAAATAGCCGGTATGAAAACGAGCAGAAACACACAGGCAATTAAAATATTTTTTGTGCATTGGCAAAAATGCATTTAAAGCACATAGAACGTGTTTCTATGTTTTGTTTTTACAAGAAACCACTTCAGTGTAATTTTACTTGAAACAAAATTAAAATTTGCTTTAAGGTGTGACAAAAATGAATTTATTTTTGAGCCACTTCTGCCGGTCTGAGAATATTAAACGGATTTTAAACAGCCGCGATGTGGCCAAATATATATTTTGAATAAATTTAGCTAGCTGACATGCAGCATGCAACGGCTAATATTTAAGGAGTATGTTCGAAAATTGGCGTGATTCCCCTGGAAGTGTTGCCTGGGGGTAGTAGGCAATACAAAAAACAGTAAAAAAATTAATTAATCTTTATAAAAATGGAGATATTTGCCTAAAACTATATCAGAAATTCGGCAACAATGTTTTTCAAGGTCGGCCTCATTACATCTAAAGACTTTAGAACAAAAATCTGTTGAGATCAAAATGATGCTGTTTTTACTACATATAAAATGTTCTTAAATCATTGCTTCCAAAAAATTGTTGTCAAGGGGTATTTTAATTTTTATGTACATTGGTCTGTTGTCTGTAAACTAAATCACAATTTSACAAWTTTTTTTAAT